CACTCAAAAACCAAGACATTCATCGACCTAAAAATTACTAGAAAATCTGTCAAAGTAGAACAGTAATCAATAGTCCGCAAAACTGAATTGGTTGCTAGGAGACTTTATTTTGAGCTCTCTTTTCCGTGGCTTTTACCTTTTAAGTTGATAGAGCGGGCTGAATTATGAAAAAGACACTCAATGTTGCTAAAGGGTTATTAGTACTTTGCGATAAAGCAAAGAATATCAGAGTTGGTATTATTGGTTTGTTGAGGTTTTAATTAACACTCACTTTTATCTTTCTTTCTTTTATTTCCGCCTGTTTATAATCTATGAATATGGTAGAAAGGAGGGGTAAGTAATGCCTTTTCCGTTTTCTCTTTTGTGCTTGTTGCCTCTTGGAATATTAAATATAGATGCTGAAAACCTGACATTTGTCTGCCTGTACTCTTATCTACATTTTAATTTTATAGTGGAGAGCTTTTTTTCCAGTGGTTTATAGATCTCTTCTGTTATTAACCGTGTATGCTAATAAAGCCTAAATTAGAATACACAGCATTGCTCGGGGATAAAATAGAAATAAGTTTACAGAACTTTGCGATAGAGCAACGTATATCGGATATTGTTTTTTGTTGAAACAACATTTTCGTCTCTCTTCCTTTTCTTTTGTTATGTTGATGATCAGTGGGTAGGGTGAGAGGTGGGGGGGGGGGGGGGGGGGGATGCTCCAATTATTCTTTCTTTTTTGCCGTGTAATCCGGCCCGAGGATTTTAAAGTGCGGCGACTTGTTAATCAACCTTAAACCATAGTTGTGCCTGATCTTATTTCAATTTACTCTGGGTAAGTAAACTATCTTACGGTCTTGTACTTTGTCATGTGCTAATTGTTGCCTTAGTTGATGTGAATAGATGCAGCAGATATTCAGATGGTTCTTTTTTATTTAAATTTGGCGACTCTGCTCTGTCAGTCATGATGCAGCAAACTTATACAGGGAAATCTGTGTTAAGCGGTCACCCGTGGGAAACAAGGAAATGTCTGCTTTAAAATATGGGATAATATATTGGGCTAAAATAGACCGCTTAATAGCGCTGCGACATATTAATACACGATCTTTTAATAATAAACTGGGAAAAAATTCTGGAAACATGCGTCCAATTTTGTTTGAGGGGTGAGGGGAGGGGCAGGGTAATCAATAGTCAGCAGAACTGAACTGTAAAGGATTAGTCGATTTAAACTAATTAGTATCGTCTGTCTCTAGTGGACAGTTTTTTTAGTTTTGCCAGTAGATTATCTATATCTGTGGATAGCGTTTAATGCTCAAAATAGACATGAATTACAATAAGAAAACGGAGGGGAGAGGGGGCTGTCTAAACACAGGCTACCATAAAACAGTGCATCCTTTTCGAAATTTTCATGTAATTCTCCCTCCCTCGCCCTATACAAAGTTGCAACTGGAAAAAAAAATTCTGGAAACATGAGTCCAACGTTGTTTGTGGGGTGAGGGGAGGGGCAGGGTATGTGTGAATTGGAAAACGCCCCAGAAATTCAAAAGTATCCCAAGACTTTTATCCATGATCGTAGTTTGCCTTCATCCTTCTTACTATGCTCAGTTTTCGTGTCAAGAATTATTGAATCGGAACCAGGACAGTAATAAATTCTCACCGGGAGCCCCCACTCCCAAACGCCCCAAGGTTGGGATGAATTATGGGAAGAGGCGAGCCCGGAGGCGGGAAGGAGTGGGAGATAAGGCGCAAGAAGTGTGCCATCGCTGTGGGAAGGTGGGTGGGGCGACAAACTACGTGTCTGGTCTCTGTTTTAACGAAGAGACGAATATACAGCATCAAAAAAGGCCATTTTTTGCTAAACTCAAAAGTATATGCACAACGAGTTCCCACGCGGATCCACAGATGCGCGGTAATTTAAATGTACGGGTCCCACTGGCACAGGGAGCGTTTGTGCGTGACGGCTGCTAGTGAGAATAGTCGGGAGAACTTAATTGTTTTGCTAGGGGAATTTATTTCGAGGTATCTTTCTGTGGATTGTAGCTTCTAAGTTGATAGAGCGGGCTGAATGATAAAAAAGACAAACAAAGTTGCTAAAGCGTTATTAATACTTTGCGATAAAGCAAAGAATATCAGAGTCGGTATTAGTGGTTCGTTGACGCTTTGACAATACTCACTTTTATCTTTTTTTCTTTTCTCTCCGCCTGTTTTTAATATATGAATTTGGTAGGAATTTGCATCGGTAAGTAATGCCTTTTCCGTTCTCTCTTTTGTGCTTTTTGCCTCTGAGAATGTTAAATATAGATGCAGAAAAACTGACGATTGTCTGCCCGTACTCTTATCGACATTTTCATTCAATAGTGGACAGTTTTTTGGCGGTGTATTATAGATCTCTTGTGTTATTAAGCTTGTATGTTAATAAAGCCTAAATTGGAATACACTGCATTGATAGGGGATAAAATAGAAATACCGTATTTATTCGAATAAGCGCCCAACCTTGAATTATTGCCCACCTCGA